GGTACAAAACCTCTCCTCATATACATCTCTGAAACCAAGCAGGACCTTTAGAAGAACAGAAACAGAAATGGGCAGCACTCTTTGGGGGCAGTCTGGGTGTTCCTCTGCGCAGTCGTTCTTGCCAGCGGGAGAAGCCAGAAGACCAAAGTATTGCGAGAATGACTCTTTTTGCGGTAGCTCTGGCCTCCTAGGAATTAGGAAGTGCCATAAATCTCAGGAGAGAGACTGTGCAGAATTCCCAGCCCATATTTCAGACTTCAGAGGTTCAGATGCATTTTCTTATATTCCAAAAAAAAAGGCAGGCTTTTTGAGCCTACCTCTCAACCAGGCTCAAACTCTACATCTTTGTGGCTTGTCCATCGTTTGAGCTACCAAGAATGCTACCTAATCCACCGTTTGCAGCTATTTTTAACAAGCTCATCTGCATTGTTAAAAACTACCCATATTTTGGCAGTTAAGTCAGTCAACTCTGGAAACAGTGTTGGTCTCTTAGATTTCCTTTTGGAAAGTGTCTAAGATTTATGGTGGGAATTACTCATGACAGCTGCATTCTTTCCACTGGGTTTAGACCACCATTTGGTCTAATAACTCCTAATTGTGTGTCTATCCTAGTCTAAGCTTCTTAAAAAAAAAAAAAAGGTGTAGGAGGAGGAGGACTTTTGAAAATCCCCTGCAGCAATACCCAGTGATTTCTGTCAATAGTAAACACTATTTTGAAACTTAAGAGTGTCAGCTGATGAGGAACAAATAAAATATTTCAGTGAATGTGGATTTTTTAAGAGAATTTTTCATCAACATTACATTAATGCTGGTCTGATAAAAATAAGCATACAATGTTTAAGTTTCATTGTGTTCCCAAAGTATTTTTAGCATAAAAGGCAAAATTCCTGTCAGCATTTTCAGTCAGGGTATTTTCTTGAAAGAAGTACCTCGTAAAGTGATTTTTCTCCAAACGTGTACCTTGAAGATATTGCTCATTTAAAAATCATAAGAGGTCTAATTATATTTCCAAAATAAGTAGCTTCCAATCCAGCAAGGATAATGTGGTCATGAAAAGGATGTCCAAATCCACCAATTTACATTGGTTTGGTTTGGCATGACTTTCAAAGTTCTTGGAGCAAAAAGAGGATGGCACATGAAACTTTGTAATTTGGGTTCAATTCACAGGACTTAGGGTTTGCCATTCCATGAGCCGTTCAAGGAAGAGCTAATCAATTACAAGACTGTACCTATGTAATTTATAACTGCTAAAACTCACTGATGTGTTCCAGATTATTTTGCAAAATGTAATACCCTCCTTTTTAATATCTGCTTTGTCATTTTCACTCTATTTATGTAATTTAAAAAGTATGATAGCAGGGGAGCATGAGCCATTCAAAGCAGGAGCCACAAATGTCAGAGATTGTTATCCTTCATAAGATATATGGTGTTGATATATCTGAATCTAAAGGGCTTGGAAGTTCTGTCAAGTTAGATTCAAATGGCATCTAATGTGTTTTGCTTTACTCCTTTATACTTTCTGGTTTCTATCGTGAGCCGCAGAGCAGTTTCTCTGCTGTGACTTAGGTCTGCAACCACAGTGGTCCCACTAGTCTGAATTATCCTCCCTGTCTCCATTCCCAGCACTCCCTTCTTTTATTCCAGAAGAAAATTGGCTTATTAATTTAGGATGAGGCTGCTTTGTTTGAACAGTATAGTGCCTTCCAATTGCTCATATGTAATATATTCAACCCATACTGCTCTTTCAAATGTTTTTGATTACTGAAGTTAAAAAAAAAAAAACTTCTACTGAAATTTATGAAAGATCAAAGGGATACTGCCTATGTAGTAACATCAAATTTCTATAAGACAAAAAGTTTTTAGGTAGTAGGGAATTTCATTAATTGAAATTCAGTTTAAAACTCTAGACAGCAGATGCATTTCAATAACATTTAAAATAATATTAGAAAAGAAGAATTTCTAACTTCAAAGAAAGTGTACTTGATTTTATACCTATAGAGATATATTTATTAAAATGAGGCTTAGTTAAACTCTTTATTTGCAAAAAAAATTGTTAGAATTCAAATAATTGTATTCACTATTGACCCTGGATAAAGGTCCAACTAATTAAAGCTTTGTTCACTTTATTGTAATTGTTGTTAATTGACATTTCATTTTTAATCATTATTTTAAATAGGGCTAATTTGATTTCTTTAAAAATGTACATTAAGATTTCTCATTTGGGAAATGTAGATCTGCATATTTCTATTTTTCAAACTAATTTTTTTCTCAACTTCCTTCAGAGCAACTGATAACTCATGGGAAAAAATCAAGATAATTTTCATTTAGGGAAATCTTGTGATGACAAGCAGATGACCTCATTCACCGTTCATGGTTCCGAATGGCCTTTGACTATTTCCAAACCAAAAAACTATCACCAAAAGCCCCAAAGCTGCCATTAATAAACATTTCTCTGTAAGCATATGGAGCCACTGAAGGTCATTTTGGAGAATAGCTTCAAAATATTTTTTGTAATGGCTACTTGTTCAGAAATATTACAGATATCCCCAGTAAGGAAAATTGTGAAAGGGAGACACTTACTTGAATGCATAAGTTTTAATATTTTAAAAAGCTATATCATTTTTTAAAAACACAGAAGTTAAAGTTAAGTCAGAAAGATTGTCTACATGACAAAGCAAAGAAGAAAATGGTATAAAATTACAAAGTTCCGAGCACACGTACATAAACTAAAGACCAACATAGTCCAGTGCAAAAACTGAAAATCAGATGTTGGAAAAGTTTTAATTGACTATCACATTTAAGTTGTTAAGTGCACATTGTGCTTAAAAACAAACTGGAGTGCACTTTGATTAATGGAGCTATTTTATACATCAGGAAAACACGAACACATTTGATTTTTATAAATGTATGTATCTTAGACATTTTTACCACATACTAATAGGTGTTCCACCTAATCTAAATTCCTCATAAATTTGTAGTTCTCAGGAAGGGACAGAGGCTTGCTAATTTATTGTTAAACTATTCTATAACTACAAAACTCACACCAATGAATACACCTGTTAATAGCCATTCAGTTTTATTGAAATTGTATACAAGTTATTACATGGAAGAATAAAACCATAGTGTGGACTAGTAGGTGGGGCACAGAGGGTTTTTCAGGTAGTGAAAATATTCTGTATGATGCTTTAATGATGGATGCATGTCATTATCCATTGTCATTATGGGGGCTTCCTAGGTGGCGCTAATGGTAAAGAACCCACTTGCCAACGCAGAAGACATAAAAGACTAGGGCTCGATCCCTGGGTTCAAAGATCCCCTGGAGAAGGACGTGGCAACTCACTCCAGTATTGCTCTCTGGAGAATCCCATGAACAGAGGAGCCTGGCAGTTATAGTCCAAAGGATTGCACATAGTCAGAAACAACTACAGTGACTTAGCACGCATGCACATGTCATTATACGTTTGTCCAAACCAATAGACTACAACACCATGGCTGAACCATAATGTAAACTATGGACTGCAGATGTATTGGTGGTGTTTCCTCAGTTTTAACAAATGTATCACTCGGGTAGGAGATGTTGACAACAGGAGAGGCTATACATGTGTAGGGGCCAGGGTTACGTAGGAAATCGCTGTACCTTTCCTTCCATTTTGATGTAAAATGAAAGTTGCTCTTAAAATAATGTCTTAAAACTGAGTGAATAATGGCTCTGATTTATGCCGTGGGTACTAGTATTACACATTATGTCAGTCTGTCCTAAGTTACTGATGATGTATTTTGCACACAGCAGAAATGTTCTTACTATAAAGTACATAAAAATAAAGATTGTACAACAATGAAGGAATTCATTTCATGTCAGTAGAGACTTTAAAAAGACTTTTTTCTGTTATACCATTACAGTAATATTTATCAGTTTATGTGATACTAACTATCATGAATGACAAAGTTTAACAATTGTGCTATATCACCTCCTTACAGAAACTGCTGAGGTAGGTGCTGACCTCTATGTTAACTGGTAATCTCATCTAAGTCTCTTTGAGGGCCTGGACACATCAAGGAATATGCAATCCTGACATTAAAGTTATGTTATCAACATTTCTTATTGACAATAAGAGTATCTGAATAAGTGTTTCTCTTTTCATTTTCCTGTTTCTCCATCTTTTTCATAACCGGGTCCTGGAAATAACCAGATGGTATAGATATAAATAAATATGTGGAAAAGAAGCAGTTGATTATCCAAACCCACTGCCAGGATAAGTTATTTTGAATTATAGATGACTAGTTTTAAAATAATCTGAAACTAATGTCACCATCTTGTCAAGGATTTCTTTTTGTTTTTCCCCTCTGTAATGGAGTATCCCATTACCTACAATACACTAGAGACTATCAAAGTAGTTATACATCGAGAGTAGAATTTTCATTCTGGAGTTTCAAATAATCAGACCAGTACATGTTATGCCATAGAGACTGCATGAAGAAGAAAATGAAACCAAATGGAAATGAATTGGAATCCCTAGGAATAGAATAGAACAGAATAGAATATGAATAGGAGAAAGGGAAGAAAAGGAGAGAATAAGAAGAGAAGTGAGAACGCATTAAAGGGGAGAGAAGGAAGGAAAAATTTTCAAGGAAGCGAAACTTCACAAACACCTTGGGTTACTTTATCTTTCCAACAAGGGCCAATAATACACATATACATGAAGTTCTTCTGCCTACTGCACCCTCAGGCTGATTTCTGTCTTCGGGAATGAGTCATAACTACACTGTGAAATTCCGTGCTACCTACTGCTCTTTTGTGTTTCAACTACAATCAAGTTTGTCGGAGGTTAGCTGTTACTGAGCTTAACGATTAGTTTGTTTGGATTAAAATATTGAAGACTACTTGCTCTAGGAAAAAGAAATTTGTTTTCTCTGTGAGGAAGAGATAGTATAATTATTATTTTTCTTTTATCATCTCAGTCTTAAATGAGTAAATATAAAACACGCCCTTTTGTTTTCAGGTCTAGATGTTGATGGAATATATCGAGTTAGTGGCAATCTGGCAACAATACAGAAGTTAAGATTTATTGTCAACCAAGGTAAGTGATTTCTTTACTTCAGACCATTTTTCAGGTACTTTTAGCTCTAACAATATTACACACTCTCTGCTGTGTGTATTATGAATATAGTTTATTTGAAGATGAGTACAATAAAAAGGGGACTAGCTATTACACTGTGTGAAATAAATAACAAGTGAAATATGACAAGCTAAAAATGAAGAAGAGAATAATGAGTAAAAAAATAAACTAGCTTTGAAAAATGTTGCTGACATATAATACACATTTAATATATGTTGATAATTGAATAAATAAATGAACAGTGGACAATGTAAGAGTCAAAATCACAGATGTTAGGGAATATGTAATAGGTAAGTAAAATAATAAAAATTATGAAATACACATATCATCAAAGGATTATAAACTAGAACAACAATGAAATACTACTACAAGCTTATTAAAATAGCTAAAATTTAAAACACTGACAGCACCAAATGCTGTTGCTGACTGGGATGTGGAGCAACAGGAACTCTCATTCATACTTGAAGAAATGAGAAATAGTACCACTAACTCAGAAAATGTCTTAGCAGTTTATTATGAAAATAAACTTATCCTTACCTTATTACCCAGAAGTTGTACTCCTTGGTATTTACCCAAATGAGTTCAAATCTTATGTCCACACACACACAAAAAAACTGCACAAAATATTTTCATTAATTTTATTCATAATTGGTAAAATTTTAAGGCACCCAAGATGCCCTTCAATAGGTGAATAGATAAACCATAAAGCATCCCTACAATGGAATATTATTTACTGATAGAAAGAAACAAGCTATCAAGTAATGAAAAAGCTTGGAGAAAACTTAACTGCATATTGCCAGGTGAAGGAAGCCAGTCTGAAAATGCTATATACTATATCATCTCAGCTATATGACATTTTGGAAAAGGCAAAACTATGGAGATTGCAAAAGATCAGTGATAGTAAAGGATTTGAGGGGAGACAGAGAATAATGAGTGAGCATGGAGGATTTTTAGGGCCATGAAACTGTTCTGTTTGATATTGTATAGGTGGATACATGTCAAAATCTAAATAATATATAACCCTAAGAGTGAACCTTAATGAAAACTATGGACTTTAGTTAATAATAACTTATAAATATTGGCTCAACAGTTGTAACAAATGTACTACATTAATGCAAGATCTGACTAATAAGGGAAATGGTGGGGGCGTGGGCAAGTATAAGGAGGGTACATTGGAAACTATATTTTCTGTTAAGTTTTCCTGTAAACCTAAAGTTTCTCTAAAAAAGATGGGAATTTAAAAAATAATAATTAGGAAATGTTAAAGAAAATAAAGATTGAAACATCTTGAGATGTTATTACAGATAGCTCATAGGTTTAGAATTATACAATGTGGGATAAAAACAAGATGCTCTCTCCTTGTGTCCTTGGCAACTATTTAATTCTCCTATGCTCTGTTTTTTATCAGTAAAAACAGGAAGGAGGTGCCTCGGAAATACTTGTGAGAGTGAAATGAGATAAGATGTGGTATTCCCTTAGAAACATAACAGACTCATGGCAGTTGTTCAGTACATCTAAGTTTCCCTTTCACTTAAAGAGTCAATAGTGTCTCATTGCCTTCAGGAGAATTTACACAGTCTTCATAATCTGGCTTCCCACCTACATCTAGCCAGATGCAAGCCCTTAGAATTTCTTTCACAATACATTCATAACTGTACTTCCTTATTTACATGCTGTTGTATTTCTTAGTGCTTTTGCATACACTCTTTCATCTACTTTCAATATCCTCCTATCTTTTTCTTCCTATCCCACATACAAAAACTTCCTGTCTCATTAGATTTATCCTTATTCTTCAAGGCTCAGATTATAAATCATTTTCTCCAGGGAGCTTGCAACATTCCTTCAGTCAGATTCCTTCTCTGGGTGCCCATTATGCTGGGTAGTTAAATTTGCATTCGTACAAGCATATCTAACTTCTAAAATTCCATCTGTTATAAGACCCAGATATTTAATGCCATTCTTTAAAAGAGAATTTTATCAAATGTATTCAGTGATTATATTTCAGAAGCATTACAATTTGAAAGTCTTGGAATAAGAAAAAAGAGTGTAATGGTTGAAATATCTGTCTCCTCCCTGAATCCCTATACACCTAAAAAGGTAGAATTTAAATCAGTTTTGTATCTACCCTCATTAACCACCAGTAGCTCTTGGAGCCTCCATGCAGGGAGCTCTTAATATCTGTTGTATATTGTCTGTGTGTGTGTATGTTGCAAATAGAAGTATTAATACTAAGAAGCATTAACCTCTCCAGCAGTTCAGCTCGGGTTGAACCATGCTTTTAAGTGTTAACTACAGTGCTTTTGGTCAGTGGCCACGTGCTGCTTATTTCTGAGCATCTCTGTAGCTTCCCCTGTGAGTCGGCTGGTAAAGATTCTGCCTGCAATGTGGGAGGCCTGGGTTCTATCCCTGGGTTGGGAAGATCACCTGGAGAAGGGAAAGGCTACCACTCCAGTATTCTGGCCTGGAGAATTCCATGTACTGTATAGTCCATGGGGTCGCAAAGAGTTGTACATGACTGAACGACTTTCATTTACACTGTAACTAAGAATCTGTTTGCTCACTAATATGTACCTTTGTCTTTCAGAATTACTGTCCTTCATGGGCAGAAAACAGAACTGAACATTACCTTATGTATTCATGTTGGTCCCATTGGCCTGAACCAGAGTACCCACTCTGTGGATAAAAATTGGATAAAATAGCCCCAGCTTTTTATAACCATTCCTGTTTATAACCAGCTAAAATCATTCTTGTAATATATTTCATACAGAAACCATACCCTGATTGGGATTCTAGACAGCTGGGCAACACATTTCTTCTACAAAGAAGAAATCTCAAAACAGAAGCCATGCTAGAAACAAACACTAGTTGCATTTCCTGCCTTTAAAAAAAATATGCTCAGCAGTTTGAAAAGGCAAAAAAAAAAAAATCTGCAATGAAAATATGAAATCTGTCCATCTCATCTTTTGCAAAACTTCAGCATCCTCTGGGGCTGTGTAACTGCTCATGTTTCCATGAGAGCTGACAATGTAAAGCTGGACAGAGGCCTGAGTTGGTAACTGGTAGCACAGAATTGTCAGTAAACTGTCTCCCTGGTTTATAGCACTGTCAGAATGCAATACACTCAGCACAAATTATGCTGTATTAGATCTTTTGATACTAGTGATTTTGTCCAAGCTGTGTTGTGTTCTTTTTTTTTTTTTTTTTGGATTAGATGATAAAAGATATGCCAGTCTCCCTCAAATTTTACTAATCAGATTATCTTGTGAATGAAATCACAGGAGTGGAGCTCTAACATTTGTTCTAACACCATACCTTCCCCTTCTGCATGCTGGTTGCTGACAACAGAGCTGCATGGGAGATGATCAGTGCTGGATACAAAGAGAGTGAATATGTGCATCATTGTGATTTCCTCTGTGTGTGTGTGTGTGTGAGTGAATATGTGAGTGTGCGTATGCACACATGTGCAAGGCAATAGAGTGGCAGTCCAGTGGTAAGTCCTTGAAAAGCAAAACGGGATATGTGACTGCAATGCATTCCTTTTTGTATTCTAAGATAGAACATAGCTGGTTTCGGCATACCCTGTCTGTATTAACACCTTTTATCTCCTCCATATTCACATTCCATGATGTTTCCTTTTCAGAAGGTTCTAAATGTATATTTTTTAAATGAATAAGCCCTACCCACGATTAGACTAGACAAATGAAAACTGATTTTGGTGATTTTCAAGAACAGTTTAATTGCAATTTATGTATTTCACTAACTTTCTTGAATGCTATAATCATCAGCAATTCTAAATACACCAGTTGAATGATTCAATTTGTTTTGGTTTTCTGTTTGACTCACTAAATCACTAGGAATTGGATACCCTTATTATACTTCCAGATCAGATGGCATACAAGTTAAATTCAAAGTGATCACTTTTGAAAAGCACTTCCTAATTGTAACTAGTAATGATGAAGATAATAACAATTATTATTATAAAAGTAGCTAACATATTTTCATAATTTATTAGGTACCAGGCACTCTACCAAGTGTTTTACTTATTTTAGTCCTACCATTCCATAGAATGTGGGTTATTACTGTTTCTATTTTAAAGGTGAGGAAACTTAGACCCAGGAATGTTAAATAATGCCCTCAGGCCATAAAGCAAATGAGTGAGAGGGCTCAGACTAGATCCCACATCTCTATGTCTCAACCAGTGCCGAAAACCACTGCTGGGTTTGACTTTGCCCATTCATTGATTGTTTATTAACTCCTTACAAAAGTGAAGATCAGTCTCTTCATGTTTTACCCACTTCTTAGTGGCTTTCTATTTTCTGGTATTTGTAAGTGACAAGTATTGTCGTGGGAGTTTGACTGAAACTTTTCAAGAAAGAGAAATGCCTGGGAAAATGCCGAATGCTACAGTTAGGAAGAAGTCACGCCTGACGCTACCATTCTCAGTAGAGCTTCATGTATCTATGTTTGGAACAAGAAGCTACCACAATATTCTGTCGCAACCCTCACAAAGAGTCATGAAAGACTCTAGATTCACTGGCTATTGATGCATTAGTGAGCCGTGCTCTGCCCTGTTTGTTATATTTGGTGACAGCTTTCAGTGACATTTTGCTGATGCTTCTCCTCCATTCTACGAGGGCATCCCCCAAAGAAACTGGTCTATGATCTTAGATGTCAACTTATCATCAGCCAGTGACACTGCGTTGATTCTTTGGAATGATCTGTGATGCGACTTGTGTGGGGGTCCTTTTACAAAGGGCAGAGTTTAGCACTGAGGATGCTGCCTCACTGTCTTGAGAACTTCTGAAAGTGGGTCTTAGAAATCCCACCAGCCTGAATTCCCCCTCCTTTGACACCAGAATTCTGGTTTGAGCTGCCCATCGGGCTTATTAGTCAAACTCTAAATTCAGTTCAGACTCCCTTTAATATTACTTAGATGCTCTCTTTCACCCTTTAAAAATAAA